GTGAAGAGACACATTAAGAAATCTTAGTTAATTAAATTGAGGCAAACCACAGTGAAAGAGACTATCCATACCTGTCGGCATATGTGATCCCACTGAATATTAAGTTCTCTGAGTTCTGTTTCAAGTCTGGAAGCAAACTCTGGCTCTGCTTCATTCTTTATCTTCTGCCCACCTTCATTGACACTGTTTAGACTGGGCTGAATTGTCTGAATATCATTGACTAAAAGCTAAGGAAATAATTCAATATAAGTTGGCTAAAAAAAAATACCAGCATATATTAGAAATGCAGCATAGCTGGGAATCATGGCATTGCATATGAATTTTGTCTTTTAAAATCTGAAAACATATAGCTACAGATATAGATATAGACATCTGCATAACTGGCTTGCAAAAAAATGTTCAGTGGTTATTATGGTATGAGTGAAGTAGGGAATTATCTGTATTCTACTTATATCAGAAACAAAAGGAAATAAATTTGATATTTTTGGTTAGAAAAATGTGTGAAAATGATGGGCTTTATGCATTACTATCTTTGAAAGGATTTTGGTTTTCAAAAGCAGGATATTGCAACAATTGTTTATAGCATAGTAGGTGTGAAAGTTATTTGTAAGGTGGATTTTCTTTTTTAACTTGTATTTGCAAATAAAGTTCTTTAAAGAGTTAGATTATTTTATTCCTGCTGCATGATAATGATATAATGAATATTATTTCAAAAATCCATATTTTGTTATAGTATAGTGAATTATACATGAAGGAAACAACGCAGTATGAATAATCATTTGTAACAAGATATAGCAAGTAGCTCAAAGGATCTTTACCTTTGAATTCTACTGAATTTTATAATACAATAATCTTATCAAGTGGGGTTTGAGTAAAAGGCCATGTTTTGATTGTGTCTCAATTATGTAACCTAGGGATTCTCAACACTGGCACCACTGACATTTTGAACTGTATAATTCTTTGTTGTGGAGGGCAATTCTGCATGCTCCAGGATATTTAGCAGCATCCCTGCACTCTACCCACTAGACACCAGTGGTATCTATCCTCTCCCCCTAAGTTGTGACAACCAAAATGGTCTCCAGACATTGCAAAATGTCCCCTGGGAAGGGGAGGGACAAAATCACACCTGATTGTAAACCATTGATCTAACCAAACCATATTATCCATATAAAAGTCTTCATATGAAAGCCATCATATAAAAATCTTACCCTGCACTGTTTCAGCTGTTTTTTCAGAATTTCTGAATCCCCAAGGGCAGGCCATTCTTCCTTCAGGAAAACATCAACTTCGGCCATCCATTTCTTCAAGGTTTTTATGTGATTCTGAAATAAGAGACCCATTTTAAGGCATTACTGAGGGTGCTGATTGGTCCTAACACAATTCATCATAATGATAATTCTAAACATGAGCCCAAAAATAATTCCCATGTTTGAAGGATGTCTCTAAGTAGCTCTTCAGGAAAAGTATTTTTACTAGGAGTGCATTTTTATGGTCTACTGTACGAGCACTGGTGTATGAAGTCTGCTATTGTTAAAAATAAAAAATTACTACCAAATGTGGTTTTATGATGTTACTCTCGAGAACATTAAATCATATCCCCCTCTAGAGAAATTTTAAGTTGCAAAACAACTCATGATAATACTAACAATGTGCCCTTACAGTACATAAAACAAACTATGAACAATAAACTCAATGTAATGGTGTCTTTATAGCCTCCCTAAACCTGGACTTCCACAAACTGTTTTCTACAGTTGACAGTTTAAATAGTCCCTCCAGTTGGGAAAGTTCGTGTCAAAATTTTGTCGTCTTTATAGAGACAGCTTTTGCTTTTAATTTCTTATTTGTCTGA